AGCTTTCATAGCCTCCTAACCTTCACATACCCGAATCTCTATCTCCTTTACTCAGCAAGATTTCCAGGCTTTGGGTTCCTCCTTGCTAGACCTTAGTCAGGAAATTGCCTCCAGACAGAAAGCCTGAAAAATGGAAGGGCTCACCTCATTTGTTTCTTTCCTGTTTTTCTGAGATCATAGTCTGAGGAAGCCTGTTGTCCAGTGTCTAAAAATAGTTGTTTCCTATACTCTGTCCAGTTTTCGAGTTGTTTATGTTAGAAGGGTAATTCTGGGTCCTGTTATTTTTATCCTGACTGGAAGCAGAAGTCCTCAAAAATTCTTTTGAGCCTATATTAATAACTGCATTAGCATGGAAAGTAAAGAAACAGTAAAAGTATTTTTTCTGAATTTTGGGGGTTCAGTGAGAATCAGTTACTAGTTTTGAAATGTTTCATTTCAGTCTATAAACACATAGGTACCAAATTGAGGATTAGGAATGCACTGAGAAGAGATGAAAAGGGCTTGCTCATATACCATCAGAAATATAGAAAATTTTTAAAACCACACAATTTTTCCCTCATCATTTAATTCAGTCCTTTATGATTAATTCTTATTTTCCTGGATCTTGAACTAGCAGTTTGCTTTTGTGTGGCCCTGTGCTCTCAGATATAAAGGATTCCAGTAAATCCTGATTCAGCCTTGTAATGTGATCTTAAAATTGTCTAACAAATGTCAGCTTAAGCTCCATATCCTGTACCTGTGAGTCTAATTCTTGAATTCAAATAGTTTAGAATACCTGGTATGATCCTTTCTACAGATCACTGAAGACCTAGGTTCTATCCTGTATCTGAGGGCAGAGACTTTAGATGAACATTAGAGACAAGCAGAAGCTACCAGTTGATCAGAAGCCTGAATGGCTGTGGTTAATTTATGAGAGTCACCAATAGCGTCAGAATGGAGAACAGTAAAATCCCTTATTCTGGGGGAGGGGTATGATAATAACTATTTATGAAGAATTTTATCAAAGTTTCTCTTGAAGATAAGAAAATATTATGGAGAGAAATGGACTTGATTTTCTAGGAGCTTTCAATCCATTCTTGTAACATGCACACTATATAAAACATTTCTACTGATCACATTAATTACGTTTATATTAATAACATTAAAAATTAACCAGGGGAAGGCTGACTGAATTTCTTTGATTTGACAGTTCTTCCTATGCAGCTCTTACTGTTATCTAATTAAAAAATATAGAGGATACCAAACAAATGTAATGATTTCTAGCATCCTTATATTCATAAGATAAGAGAAGAAGTCTGTGATTTTCCAATGGCAGTCTCAGAATTCTCAAAGACAGTTTCAGGTGTTAAAAAAATCCTGAAGAGAAAATTTGTTTTGAATTTAGGGTCTGACCTTGATAAAGCAAAATCGAGAGTTGTCAGAGGAGGTACGGTCACTTGATTAAAAGGATCATTGACGTCTAGTAAAAATTGTTTAGCTGCTTGTTAATCTATGTGACAGTGCAAGAGTTTACATAAAATAGGAGAAAGCAGTAAAATTATAAGGGAGCTTAGCTCTTTCCGAAGTGAGGAACTTGTTAAAAAGAATGATTTACATGATACAAAGCACAAAAATTATTCTGGTGAGATACTGAATCTCTGTCATTTGGACAGATTATATAGAAGGTAAGGAAAAACTTTGTGCTACCTCTCTTAAGAGAAAATTAAATATTTTGCAACCAACTGCCATGTATACAATTAGAAAAAACAAATTCTAATTTTGCTGCATCATGGTATTTGGCTCTAAAGTATTCACAAAGAAATTTTTAAAATTATCTTATGAATAGCCCCACCAAAATTGAGCAATCATTGCCAAAATTTTTCCAGACTCCTTATTTGCTTGTTTATAGGTATTACAAACAAAATAAAGTTTACTTCACACAAAACATCTACAGTTTTCTATATCAAGTCCTGACTTTCACTGTCCTGTTTTGTATTCTGAAACACCTAGTCAAATAACACTGAGATAAAACTATTTTGTCCTTCGAAAAGCAATTACATATCCCATTACCCTGAAATACAGTTGTCTTCTGCCATTATTGCTGATAGTATGGTCCCAATTGTATTAATTATAATTTTTAAACAAATTAAGTAAGTTCTATTTCAGAAAGAAATGAGAGGTAGATAATTTATTAAAGCTAGTCGGCAGCTTAAAAATGCATACACACATAATATAATCCCTTACATCACATTCACTTTCTTTCACCTTTTTAAAGTGGGAAAAATGAACAAGTTCATTAACACTACTCAAAGGTATAGCCATTCTATATATATAAAATAAGAAGCAAAATTGTGTGTGTATATGCATGTATATATACACACTCACAAATACATACAGATTATGGGCAGACTAACTAATTTGGCCTAGAATCAGAATCAGAAACAAACAAAAGACCAAAAGGAGAAGAAAAGATCCAGAGAAGTAGAGAATCAGCTAAATTAAATTTCTGATGCCACTTGTGAATCACCCCACAAGCCACGTAGGTACAAGAAAAGATATGTTTATGCTTAAACAGTTCAAGAGGAACATTTGTTGGGCAAAGAAATTTATTTTACTGTGTCAAATGCGTCCACTTAGGCATCTCAATGACGCCTTGGAAACAGTCAAAAATATTAAAAACAAGACTCTTATACAAATATAAATTGAGCACCTGTCAAACACTTGTTTACTTCACTAGTGAGGGAACAAGTTGTTAAAGCTGATTCAAAGAGTATTTCAAGAACTGTATATTTGGAGGCATTAGGAAAAAGATTGCTGAAATACAATCACTGGATTTGATGTAAAACCTGCTAATGTCCTACATTGCAATAAAACCGTAATTTTGGGGTTATCTTTTCAACTGGACAAAATCTGCCAGACAAAACCTACATGTTATCAAAGAACTTCACCAAATATAGGCTCTTATCAATGGTGACTAACAAGTTAAACGAAGTACATTCCCTTAGCTAATTCAATAATTTTAAGTTTGGCCTCAGATGGGTCTCTTAATGAATGTCCAAATAGGACATTGAAAAGATAGGTGGTTCTCTATTTTTTCTATTTGCAAAGTTGTGGACAATTTTCTTTAACAGGTGTATTAGCAACAAATTAGCAATATTTATTATTAATAATCTCTACTCCACTTTTTAACAGCATTACTTTTAAATAGTTTTTATACAGATCATTTTTTATGTTCTGCAGTATGTAATCAAGTGATTTTGCATACACTATAGGGGGCAATTTTTTAGAAAACATTTGAAGATCTTGTGTGAATGCTAGTTTTGGTTGAATAACGTATTATGTGATCCAGCATTTTTACTCCTAAGGACTGTTTTTGTAACAACATTTCTTTTTTCTGTTTTTTTAAAGATTGCCACCTGGGCTAACAACTGTTGCCAATCTTCCTTTTTTTATAATGATTGGCACCTGGGCTAACAAATGTTGCCAATCTTTTTTTTTTTTCCTGCTTTATCTCCCCAACCCCCGCCCCCGTACACAGTTGTATATCTTAGTTGCAGGTCCTTCTAGTTGTGGGATGTGGGACACCACCTCAACGTGGCCTGACGAGCAGTGCCATGTCCGCGCCCAGGATCTGAACCATGGGCCGCCGCCGTGGAGCACGCGAACTTAACAACTCGGCCATGGAGCCGGCCCCACAACATTTCTTGAATTGTATTCATTGTTTCAGTAGAAAAGCCAAATTTTTCACTTTTTTAATTTTAACTGATTTTAACTTTTTATAATGGACTCTTATTGGTAGATGCAAATTTTAATTAAATTGAATATTATTATTGTAATATATTCTGCTCTCATACAGTGCATATTTTAGTTATTTATGTTACACATAAGAAAACTATTAACAATTAATGATATAGCATAATATAATTATAGAATGTCGCTAGAAAGCTCTATTTTATAAATTAATAATATATCTAATAACAGTTCAATATTCTAATTAATTGTAGAAACTATTATTTCCAAGAGATACTATGGAAAGTTCAATTAAAATACATTTTTTGAGAGAAAATCTCAAGAAGTGCTTGCTAAACTTGACTTTATTTCTATATAATGCATTTTGATAATAACACGTGCAAATGACCAGACTGTCACATCTGGCTCAACTGGAAACATATGGAATACAAATAGGACCTGAGGCCTCTCTCCCCCTTGAAATCTAAATGATAAATCTACATCTCTATTCCAGTGTTCTAATCCTCCCTTTTCCTGCATATCTTTTTGTTATTATGATACAAAGACAAAGCTAACTCCAAGTAAAACCCTTCACAAAGTATTGAATTTCCTAAAAATTTTGGATAGTTAAGAAAGGTCACAAAAATTAATGTATAAATTAGAATGATGTAAATTCACCCATTCAACATTCCTTTTCTTAGACCTTCTAGACATCTCACCACTGGGACTCTTTCATTGTCCTATTACCTCATATAATTATCTATTACTCTTGCTTTTCTCTTTCTCCTCATTTTTTCACAAGGAATAGTAAACTCTCTTCCTTTGCTGCTCATACCGATGATTTTAAGACCTCAACCTGCCACTTGATAGTTCTCAGTCCTGAGTGCTCATGATAATCCCCTGGACCCTGCCCTCAGAGATTTTGATGTAATGGTCTCAGGTGGAGCCCAGGCATGGGTATTTTTAAAATACTCTTCAGGCAATTCTTGAACTCAAGGGACTAATCAAATTATTTTTTCGGATATTCTCTAAGAGGACTTCTGGTGCTAGTTGGTAAGAAAATAAAACTTCCAACTTCTTACATAAGATTACATCTTTACAGTCTGAAGGCACACAACTTATTTCATATTGATTTCAATGAAGTCACAATTATTACTTTATTTTTTGGATTTTTCCCAATTCTTCATAATATGGATTCTGGAATTTTCTTGAATTTTTCTTATGTATTATCCATGCACACAATCTGATTGTTTGACTGACTTTATTTTTCACTTCCTTTTGCTTTGTTTTAGTATTGTATCAACTATACCTGTGTAGAGATTGCGCCTCGTACCAATTATAGGTTATGCGATGCTTCTACACATTGCAATAACAGCGGAGTAAGTAGTTTCAATTTCCATTTTAAACAGCATGCTTTGAACAATTCAATAAACAGTTTGGACATTTAAAACATTATTTGAATGATTTTTTTCAATCATTTTCTTGCTGCTTGATCTCATTTAACAGTTTATAATTTATAGCTTCAATCTCATTTTTTCAAGAAAACTTGTGGAACTATTTATTAGAGAAGATAAAGTAGAAACGTTTAAGACAATTCTGGATGTGTAAAATGTTTGGTAATTTTGTGGGATGGATATGCTATAAGCATCTTGTGTTACATTATAATCAAAATGATATTCTTTTTACAGAGAGAAGGCAGAAAATGGTAAATAAAGGTCATTAAAATTTTCTTGCTAGTCTTGCTCCTTAATTTAGAGTCTGAGCTGTTCTGTGAAGCTGGCAAGTAAATGATAATTAGTGGCATGTTACTGGTAATTGCCAATATTTGGGTCTGGCTGTGATGAGGGTTGAAAGAATTAAAACAAAAAATTGATTTGGCAACAGAAGCTAGATGGACAATTTCAAAGAAAAATTTGTGAAAATTTGCTGATTTTGTCTATTTAAGATAAATTATTTGTAATGGATAAATTATCTGTTGAATAAGTATAGCGTATTCATTGGTCTCTATTGAAGAACATCTCCGTACATAAAAATTATTTTATTTTCTGATTATTCCAGATTTGTAACAATTTTAACCACTGCCATTGTAAAAATGGATTTGTCCCTCCTGATTGCGAGTTAATGAAAGGAGAATTTGGAAGTATCGATGATGGACACAAGATTAAAACTGCTGGTTAGTGTCTTTAAAATTTTATTAATCAATGACAACATGTAAGAGAATAAATTAAAGTATAGGTCCCAAGCTTCATTACAAAGTGACTGATGTCAACAAATACAGTTTTCTTTTATTTTTAAGATTTAAAAAATCTAAGCCAGTGTAAGCGTGTACTGTTCTTTCTATATCAACATTGACATTGTTTGCTAACAAAAAGTATACTCAATGTTAGGCAATTTTAAAAGTAGTAATTCCAGTGCATCTAATTTGACCAGTTAATTTAGATTGTTCCTTTTGGATTGTCTCATATATTCCTGGTTTAAAATAGAGTTAGTATTTGTTATATTAGTGCCACTACACTCTTTCAGGGTATCTTTTCTTTCTCCTGCGTTTTAAGGGCTCTGATCTAATCTTTTCAAATGTTGTCTTTAGAATCTTCCCCCTGGGATTCCTGAGAGGTATTTTGATATTAAGCAGACCTGCATGAGACTAGGAACAGCTGGGGTATGCCCCCTGGTTCCAGACAGTATGGGGGCCCACCTAAAATAACCTGGGAGCAGAGGAGGGCTGTCCACCCTTAAGCCCTTTTCTTTTAGGAAAAATAATGAAATTCCTGGGAAGACTTATCTGTAGCTTCTACACTAGGAAGGAGTCGTGCTTAGGGTGACCAGCATTTTAGAGAGCTAACACACAGCCATGTCAGACTGTGTATCACGCCAAAATAAAGCATAATATTTTAACTTGTTACATATAATTATACACATATATTATTATTTTCACATAAATATATGGAAAATAGGTAATTCGAAATTATATATTATTCTGTATGTTTTACTTTTCTGTTACGTAAATGCTATTATTTATGCAAAACAATAATATAACTAGTTAACAGTATCAATTGATAGTAGTTCATAGTACAACCAAATAATATATATGAGTAAAAATGTAACAATATATTTTTTTTTGAGGAAGATTAGCACTGAGCTAACTACTGCCAGTCCTCCTCTTTTTGCTGAGGAAGCCTGGCCCTGAGCTAACATCCATGCTAATCTTCCTCTACTTTATATGTGGGACTCCTACCACAGCATGGCATGCCAAGCGGTGCCATGTCCACACCCAGGATCTGAACTGGCGAACCCGTTGTGTTCACCACCAAAAGTTTATTTCCACTGGTGACCATACAAATGTCCCTCTTTACCTCTTTAACTTTCCCCCACCTCCCTTCCCTTCTGGTAACCACGAATCTGTTCTTTGTATCTATGTGTTTATTTATTTACTTTTTATCTTCCACATATGAATGAAATCATACAGTATTTGTCTTTCTCTGCCTGACTTATTTCTCTTAGCATAATGCCCTAAAGGTCTATCCATGTTGTTGCAAGTGGTGAAGTTTCATCTTTTTTATGACTGGGTAGTATTCCATTGTATACATATGCCACATCTTCTTTATCTATTCATCTATCGATGGGCAATTAAGTTGTTTCTTTGTCTTGGTTATTCTAAGTAATGCTGCAGTGAAGATAGGGATGCATATATCTTTTTGAATTACTATTTTCATATTCTTTGGATGAATACCCCAAAGTGGGATAGCTGGATCATATTTTAGTTCTATTTTTAATTTTTTGATGAATTTCAATACTGTTATCCATAGTGGGTATACCACCAACTGGGCACAAGCACTCTCTTTTCTCCACATCCTCACCAACACTTGTTATTTCTTGCCTTTGTAATAATAGCTGTTCTCACAGGCATGGGGTGGTATCTCATTGTGGTTTAAATTTGCATTTCCTTGATAATTAGTCATGTTGAACATCTTTTCATGTGCCTATTGGCAATCTCTATACCTTCTTTGGAGAAATGTCTGTTCATATCCTTTGCCCATTTTTTAATCTTGTGGTTTGTTTTTTGTTGAGTTGTATGATTCTTTATACATTTTTTATATCAATCACTTATCAGATGTATGATTTGCAAATATTTTCTCCCAACTGGTGGATTGTCTTTTTGTTTTGTTGATGGTTTCCTTTGCTGTGCAGGAGCTCCTGACTTCAATGTACTCCCAGTTGTTTATTTTTTCTTATGCTTCCCTTGCCTGAGGAGACATATCCAAAAAGATACGGCTAAGCCGCTGTCAGAGACCATACTACTTATGTTTTCTTCTAGGAGTGTTATGGTTTCAGTTCTGACATTCAAGTCTTTAATCCATTTTGAGTTAATTTTTGCATGTGCTATAAGATAATGGTCTACTATCACTCTTTTGCATGTGGCTGTCCAGTTTTCTCAACACCATTTATTGAAGAGACATTCCTTTCTTCATTGCATGTTCTTGGTTCCTTTGTCGAAAACTAGCTGTCCATAAATGTGTGGGTTTACTTCTGGGTTCTCAATTCTGTTCCATTGATCCTTGTGTCTGTTTTTGTGCCAGTACCATGCTGTTTTGATGACTATAATTTTGTAGTATATTTTGAAATCAGGGAGTGTGATGCCTCCAGCTTAGTTCTTTGTTCTCATGGTTGCTTTGGCTATTTGGGGTCTTTTGCTGTTCCATATGAATTTTATAAATCTTTGTTCTATATTTCCATGTAAAAGGATGTTGGGATTATGATAGGGATTGCATTGAATCGGTGATTAGGTAATATGGACATTTTAACTATGTTAATTCTTCCAATCCATGAGCATGGAATATCTTTCTATTTCTTTGTATCTCCTTTGATTTATTTCAACCTTTGTTAGTCTTCAGTGTACAGATCTTTCACCACCTTGGTTAAATTTATTCCTAGGTGTTTCATTCTTTTTGTTGCAATTGTGAATTGGATTGTTTTGTTGAATTCTCTTTCTGCTAGCTCATTTTTAGTGTATGGAAAGTGGCTAATTTTTCTATGTTGATTTTGGACCCTGCAACTTTGCTGTATTCATTTACTGTTTCTAAGATTTTTGGTGGATTCTTTAGGCTTTTCTATATGTAAAATTGTGTAATCTGCAAATACTGCAAGTTTTATTTCTTCTTTTCCAATTTGGATACATTTTCTTTTTCTTGCCTAATTGCTCTGCCTAGGACTTCCAATACTATGTTGAAAAACAGTAGTGAAAGTGGTCATCCTTGTCTTTTTCCTGTTCTTGGATAGCTTTCAGGTTTTCACCATTGAGTATGATGTTAGTTGGTTGTTTGTCTTACTAGGCCTTTATTACATTGAGGTACTTTACTTCTATACCCATTTTAGTCGGAGTTTTTATTGTAAATGGATGGTGAATTTTGTCAAATGTGTTCTCTGCATTTATTGAGATGACTGTGTGATTTTTATTCTTCATTTTGTTAATGTAGTGTATCATGTATCTGATTGATTTGCGGATGGTGGAACATCCTTACTTCCCTGGAATAAATCACACTTGATCATGGTGTATAATCCTTTTAAAGTATTGCATTCAAGTTGCTAACATTTTGTTGAGGATTCTTGCATCTATCTTCCTTAGTGATACTGGTCTGTAATTTTCTGTTTGTGTTGTCTTGTCTGGTTTGGGTATCAGGATAATGTTGGCCTTATAAAATGAATTAGAGTGTATCTCCTCCTCTTCAGTTCTTTGGAAGAGTTTGTGAAGGATAGGTACTAAATCTTATTTGAATGTTTGGTAGAATTCTCCAGAGATGTTATCTGGTCCTGGACTTTTGCTTTTTTGGAGGTTTTTAATTACTTTTCAGTATCCTTACTAGTAATTGGTCTATTCCAGTTCTCTATTTCTTCTTGATTTAGTTTTGAGATGTTGTATGATTCTAAGAACTTATCCATTTCTTCTAGGGTATCCAATTTGTTGGCATATAGTTTTTCATAGTATTCTCTTATAATCCTTTGTATTTCTGTCATATCCATTGTCATTTCTAATCTTTCATTTCTGGTTTTACTTTTTACCCTGCTCTCTTTTATTTTTTAGTGAGTCTAGTGGCTTGTCAATTTTGTGTATCTTTTGGGAGAACCAGAACTTAGTTTCATTGATGTTTTCTATTGTCTTTATAATCTGTATTTCATTTATTTCTACTCTGATTTTATTTTCCCCTTCTTTTTACAGACTTTAGGTTTTCTTTTCTCTTCTTTTTCTTGGTCCTCTATGTGTAGTGTAGATTGTTTAGCTAAGATTTTTCTTATTTCCTGAGGTAGGACTGTATTGCTCTAATCTTCCCTCTTGGTACCACTTTGGCTGCACCCCATAGATTTTGGTATGTCATATTCTCATTTTCATTTGCCTCCAGAAATTTTAATTTCTTCTTTGACTTCTTCATGTATCCAATAGTTGTTCAGTAGCATGTTGTTTTGTCTCCACGTATTTATGGCTTTTCCAGCTTTCTTCTTGTAGTTGATTTCTAGTTTCATACCACTGTGGTCAGAAAAGATGCTAGATATGATCTTCTTAAATTTACTGAGGTTTGTTTTGTTTCCCAACATATGATCTACCTTAAGAATGTTCCATGGTCAATTGAGCAGAATGTGTATTCTACTGCTTGTGGGTGGAATAGTCTATATAGATTTATTAAGTGCATCTGGTCTAATGTTTCAATCAAGGCCAATCTTTCCTTGCTGACTTTCTGTCTGGATGATCTATCCATTGATGTAAGTTGGATATTAAATATCCCTATTATTATTGTGTTGCTGTCAATTTCTCCCATTAAGTCTGTAAATAGTTGCTTTATATATTTTGGTGTTCCTATGTTGGGTGCATATATATTAATAAATTTTATGTCTTCTTGATGGATTGTCCCCTTTATCATTGTATAATATCTGTCTTTGTCACTTGTTATCTTTTTTGGCTTGAAGTCTATTTTGTCTGATCTAAGTATGGCTGCACCTGCTTTCTTTTGGTTGCCATTTGCTTGAAGTATCATCTTCCATCCCTTCACTTTGAGCCTCGGTCTTTAGAGCTGAGATGGATCTCCTGGAGGCAGCATGTTGTTGAGTCTTGCTTTTTAATTCATCTAGCCATTCTGTCTTGATTGGTGATATCAATCCATTTACGTTTAGGGTGATTATTAATATATTAGGACTTAATACTGCCATTTTATCTTTTGTTTTCTCATTTCTCTATATTTTCATTGCTGTTTTTCTTCTTTGTGTTTTTGTCTGCCATTTCAGTTTAGTGGTTTTCTGTGATTTTTTTCTCAGTTTCCTTTTATTTATGCTTCATGTCTCTGTTCTGAATTTTTGCTTTGTGGTTACCATTAGGTTTCTATAAAAGGTGTCATAGATAAGATTATTTTTTCAGCTGATAGCATCTAATCTTCATTGGTCAATACTGGTTTCATCCTTTTCATCTTCCTCTTCTGTGTTTTTGTTGTCACCAATCATCCCTTTTATGTTGTAAATTCCTTACCAAACTGAAGTGGTTATAGTTATTTTTATAGCTTCCTTAACCTTTAAACTTTATGTTATAATTGTTTATAACCTATTCAGATGTAGAGTTGCAATTTTCTGATTCTTTCTATTTGTCTACTTGCTCAAAGCTTGTATACCTTTGCCTTTTCATTTCAGGTAGGAGACTTCCTTTCAACATTTCTTGTAAGGCAGGTCTAGTGTCACTTCTTTCTTTGTCATTGACTTGACAGTTTTATTATCATGTGTCTTAGAGAAGGTCTTTTTGCATTGAGGTAACTGGTTGTTCTTTTAGCTTCGTGGATTTGTACATCCAGTTCTTTTCCCAGGTTTGGGAAGTTCTAAGCTATTATTTCTTTAAGTAACCTCTCTGCTCCCTTCTTTCTCTCTTCTGTTCTAGGATACCTATTATCCTTACATTGCCCTTTCTAATGGAGTTGGAAATTCTCATAAAATTTCTACATTAAAAAAAAAATCTTAGTTCTCTATCTTCTTCTCCCTGCATTGTTTCTGGGTTTCCATCTTTGAACCTGCTAATTCTCTGTTCCTTATGGTCCGCTCTATTTCCAATGCTTCCTAATACATTATTCATCTCATTTATTGAGTTCTTTAGCTCCAGAATTTCTGTTGGTTCTTTTTCAGAGTTTCAATCTCTTTGGTAAAGTATTCTTTCTGATTATTGATTTTATTCTTGATCTCATGGAACTGACTTTCTGACTTTTCTTGTAGCTCATTGAATTTCTTTATGTCAGCCATTTTGAATTGTTGGTCAGTTAGATCACAATCTTCAATGACTTTATGTCTGGTTTCTGGAGAACACTTATTTTTTTGTGTGATGCTGTTTTACCATGGCTTCTCATGTTGCTTGTGGTTACTCCTTTGCTGGTGCATTTGTCACGGCAAACACTTTTCTTATTTAGGTATATCTTTTTTTATCCTAACTATTCAGTCACTTAAAGATTAGAGGCCTTTCTGTTTTCAGTAGATGGTGCTATAGCACTAATTTTTGGTTTGTCTTACCTGAGCACCTGTGGCTGTATTTGAAGATTAGTACTTTCCACCCTCCACCACCTCTGTTAGGGGTGTCACCAGTATTCTGATCATTCCTGCCTTTGTCTTCAGGGTTCAATGATGTCTTATCATTGTTGATGTTGCTACAGTCGCTGATTTTGCTGCTGAAGGTACAGTGATGGCTCACATCTCTGCCACATTCGGGATCACCTGCATCAGAAGCTCCACTGATGCAGGGAGGATGAGGGTGGGAAGGGAGCTGGGTTTGCAAATACTTTCTCCCATTCAGTAGGTTATCTTTTTTTGTTGTTGATGGTTTATTCAAGTTGGTCAAAATGAGAAGGTGGGAGGATAGATTCTCTCAAATCTACTTTAACAAAAGAGGAAATCAGGGGCTTTATAGAGCTAAGGGGCTTCGGAGGAGGAGTTTTGGAGAAACAAAGGAGAAATCTCTGTTCCTTTGCTCTAGATACACCCTTGGGCAATCTGACATCTGGGCATCAACAGCAGCTTGAGGCTAGTTATCTGGTCATCCTGACGTCCTTAAAGGCATTTTTTTCCTCTACAAAATAAGCTCATAAATCCTTCTGACCCTTGAGTCATCCCTCATGTTAAACAACAAAGCACCAAGTTAGCAAGAGTAACTTCTTTTTATCTGTGTCTGTGTTGGCAACCAGGTCAAAAGGTAATCATGTTCTTATTGAATGTTTACTGGAACCCTCAGGCACCCAGCTTCAACAGCTTTAATGTATATATTTTTACCAACATTCTGTTCATGATTATCTATGTATTCTCTAAGAAAATACAGAATTTCTCTTCTGCTTTCCTCTTTTCTTTCTGAACCCTCATCAGAAGCTTCATTAATGCCCATATTTCTACCAACAGTCTCTTCATGGTACTCTAGGATTTTTCTAAAATCCTAGATTTTAGAAATTCCTCCAGCTCCTCCCCATTACTCAGTTCCAAAGCTATTTCCACATATGTTTAGGTATTTATTACAGCAACACCCTACTTCTTGGTACCAGAATCTATATTAGTCAGGGTTCTCCAGAGAAACAAGACCAATAGGATGTGTGTATGTGTGCTTGCATGTGTGTGTGTGTGTGTATGAAAAGAGAGAGAGAGAGAGGGACATGTTATAAGGAATTTGCTTGTGTGATTATAGAGACTGACAATTCCCAAGATTTGCAGGGTGAGTCAGCAGGCTGGAGCCCCAGGATGATTGATGGTGTAGTTCCAGTCTGAAGGCTGACAGGCTTGAGACCCAGGAAAGCCAATATCTTAGTTTGGGTCCCTTAGGCAAGAAAAAATACTCTCTTCTTCATGGTAGGGTCAGTGTTTTTATTTTATTAGGGCCTCTAGCTCATTGGATGAGGCCTACTCACATTAGAGAAAGCTATCTGTTTTACTCAGTCTACTGATTTAAATGTTAATCTCATTCCAGAAAGCCCTCACATAAACACCCAGAATTATATTTGACCAAACATATGAGCACACCATTGCACAAATTGTCACATAAAATCAACCATCACACATACTAATAGTATTTGTTAGCAGAAATATACCAGGAGTCTCTCTCTTTGAATGTTTTTGGGAGGATATGCTTGTATGTATACATAGATTACTCTAAGTAAACCTGGAATGTGTTGATTTATGGTGGAATAGCTGGTTGGAGAAACTGCGTAATCATGTGAGTTATGTAATTAACAGTACAAGACTGAGAGAGCTCCATTCATGAGCAATATCGTGCGTACTGTACTCAAAACTTTCATCTGTTTTTTCTGAAGTCAATATGAATGTGGGGGAAAAAGAGGGAAACCTTTGGGAGCTGAAGCTGATGGAATCGGTCTCCTCCAGAGAAAAATCCTTTTTTCTATACCTGATGTTTGGCAATAAAGTACCTGAGAATCAGTCTGCAGTGTATGGCCGGAAAGGCTGATCTCTTCATCTGATTCACTGGTTTTCTGATTACAAATACATAATCCTCATCCCAGAGGTACTGGGAGTGCCAATCACATGCACAAAGCAGACTGAAAAAGAAAACGTTGCTCCACCCTTGAACTCACTTGAAAAACCATATTGGAAAAAAGGGAGACATGCTGTGGCAGTCTTAAGAGGAATATATCGAGACTCAATGATCAACAACTGTAACTTGGCAGTGGCTCTGCCTGGCAGCTCCTCCACAGTTTCAACTGGCAAAGAAGTGATAGAACAGTTTTCCATATCAGATAAAAGGAAGCGTGCCAACAAATCACGTAGAAAGCAGAACTTGATACATTACAAATCCAGAAAGATGGCTGATATGTGCGAAAAGGTGGAACCTGAGGAGCCACATAGATCAGATGCTCAGGAACGAGTACAGATCCAGAGGAGAATGAATAAAAATTGATGAGGAAAATGTAGATATTAACACTAGTTAGTCAGAAATGGGCCAAAGCCAGGCTTAGCTATGCATTCTATAAAATAATTCTAGAGACATTTTAACAATTTCCTATTGCTACATATTTGATTAAAGAATTTACTTCATAATTTAGCGACTACTGATTTTTAATTTTTAGAAAGAATTGTAGTAAAGCAAGAGAAATTAAATACCATATTTCCCAAATTTAATTCTCATATTTAGGTACAATTCCAACACTCTGTGTGACACATGTGTTTGAGCTTTGGAGTAGCTGTGTCAGAAAGAATTTAAAGAAATGTTTGCAAGTATTAAACGTGTGCTTCATGAAAGAGCATTACCTTCAATCAAATAAATCACCATGTGGTGGAAGGTTGAAAGCTCAAAAACATCAATAAAGTATTACTAACAGCCCATTATATGTCGGTTTAGTTTTTTTGGATTTTATTGTATTCATAATGTATATGGATGAAATGTTTAGTGTCTGGGAGTAGTGTTGGTAATGATATCCAATCCACGTTTTCATTTGGTTAATAAAATCTCTGACATAATTTGAAATGGGTATTTTCCATTCTAGGTAGAAGTTATTTGGAGGAAAGATCCAGTCTTTCAAAGCACCGATTTCAACTCATTTTCTACATTTTTCTACCTGTGCTCATCATTACTGCTGTTATTTCAATAAAGCGGAAGAAAATAAAAGAGCTATGCTACAGAGGGGAAACTGAAAGTGACAGGTATATATTTATTTATATATAAATATATATATTTTTTTACTCATTAAATTAAATAAGTCAAGAAAAGTATTCATGTTTCATCAGGAATAATCTAAGACTACAGGTAAAGCAATATAAAGAGAGGCCCAGGGATACATTTCAAACCAGTTTGGTGTCTTTCATGTTTTTTTCTAGTTTTATTCATCACTAAAACTATTCATTTTACCACAAGTATCACTTTAGGAGGAGAAATGAGTGCCAAGGGTATTGTGGAGGTTTATGCAGCTCTTATTCCACTGTCTATGTTTAAATAGTCCATGTTGTCCTGTGCTTCATGAGAATAGGTAATACTGCATTTCAAGGGAACTTTTAAAAAATAGATTTTTTAGACACAGACTCTCAGACCAGTGGTAAGCAATGTTATTAGAACACCTCTTTCAAGTAGAGATAATATCTATGCAACTGCCTCCATAATATTTATTTTCCTAAATATCAATATCGCTAATTTGTAAAGTCATCTTATTAACTAGAAATTACCTGTGTAGTTCATAATATCAGGTTAGGAGACTGGAGACTGGATTATGAAATGAGGAGAAAATTAGGTTTATCCTGAGAAAACTTGGTTTTAACTCCTAAATCTTGCATGTAAAAACTATGATATCTTAAGCAAGTGATTTAATCTTTATGTTCTTAAAATTATTCTCTGTAACTCTATAAAATGGGAGATAATGATAGCTTTCCAATGTATCAGAAACTTTTGCGTAGACCAAATTAATAAGTGGAATCACTGTATTATCTGTAATCAGTTACAGAGATATTTAAACATCATTATTGAGCCCCTTATTCATAATTTACTATATTTTTCCCCAGAAGAATTTACCTCTACTTTTACCTTCCAAGAATTGATGGGAAGAGAAGACATGAGTATGTGTTATGAGAGGAAGAAAAAATATGTAGAAATATATAGAAAAATTAGTTGAAATTCTTGACTGCTAGTTTATGGTTTTGGCTTGTTTGACTGAGGAGTTAGAGATATCCCAGAATCAGGGAGCCTGACTGTACAATGTGGGTTTATAACATACATACTGAATAAACATAAAATAAGGATGAGAGAAATTAATCCACAAAGCAAGGTGATGTTTTGTTGGAAGGAGATGTTTCATTTAATCAGTCACTGTGTTTCTTTGAAGAACATTCTTCATTCAAATGGTCACTTAATTGTTCAAGACCTAAAATTTCTCCGCTTTAAAATAAAGTTTATCGATTTTCTAGATCTGTGTCAGAAGAAAGCAGCAGCAGCAGCAAGTCATCCCCCAACGTGAGGTGAGCGTAGAGCAATATCTCGATGACCTTTCACTGCCACATGGGCAGAGGGCTGATATAAGGGATGCCATATGTGCTTATAGTTATTCTATTATCTCAGAAAAACTTATAATTATTAAGATAGAACCTTGGAGTTTTCATCCATTTCACTGTTTTAATTCATCTGGGAAAGTAAATGTAGAGATCAGACCGTGGAATAATCAAAGACAAAAGTAGATATTCAGCATTTATTATCAGCATATAAAAATTTCCCTTAATAAATAATGGATAGAAAATAAAAAGAGAGAATGTTTCATATAGCATCCAAAATTATTTTTCAAGTTCTCTCTTCATCCTTGCTATACAAAGTTTCACAGTGACTATGATATTCATGTAACGATTATTGAGATACATTTATGAACTGAGGAAATTCCTAAATTTAAGAGAAGCATTAGTAAGTATGGACAATCACCATTCTAATCCTATTGTCAAGGCACACTCTTTTAGGTTCTACAAAAATTAGGCATATCTCTACTCTCTAGGCAAGGCTATACTTTAATCCTTTTAATCACAATGAAATGCATTATATCGGACAGAGAACAACCAAATGTGTTTTTTTCTCATTCTAATGTCTATCAAAAAGATAGGAAAAGAAGAATTAATTGCTCTCAAAGACAGTGGATAGAAAGAGATAATTAAAGAAAGAGCAGAAATAAATGAAAAGTAAAATAACAGAAAAAAATAAGTAAAGACAAAAGCTGATTCTTTGAAAAGATTAAAATAATTGATAAAAGTTAGCCAATAGTTCAAAATAAAAAGAGAAAGGATATAAATGACTGATATCAGGTAATAAAATTGCCTACTTTTGATCTTTTGGGCATTAGCAGAAGAGAGGATACTAGTAACTTAAAATCAATAAATTTAAGTTTTTAGATGGAATACATACATTATTCCAAAAATATGTCTTTGCCAAAATAGAATAGAGAAAAATTGAAAATATGAATATGCCTATATAAACTAAAGTTCTGTCAAATATAATTTAAAACTTTCTAAAAGTGGGTACCTGGGCATACTCTCTGTGGCATGCATCAGGAACACGAGAGCCAAGTCAAATTAAGCCAACACTTGCTCAATCATATCATTTTACATTGTGTTGGACAAATAAGTCACCATACCAAACTCAACATCAATGAAGGGATGTGTGTGATATGCTCCTCACTCTAATAGGCAGTACTAAAAAGTCACTTGGCAAAGAACTTAGATGAATAATCATGTACCAGGAAAAGAGTAAAGAATTGGGAACAATAATTCAAATGATTATATCCTCCAAATACTTAAGGAAGAAGTAATACTAATCTTATCCATACTTATCTGGAGAATATAAAAAGAAGAAGAAGCATTTCCCAAGTTTTCCATAAGGCCAGCCTAACTTTAAATACCAAAACTTGACAAAGGCACTATTAGAAAGGAAAATTATGGATGAGTTCCTGATTAGCAATTCTAAACAAAACATTTTCCAAGTAAATCCAGCTAATATAGTAAAGCATAATATATCATAGCCATGGAAGGAAAGGGTGATCTAGGAATGAAAGGTTGTTCTAAAGTTAGAAAGCCAATGTAATGTAATTCACAATATGAGGAGAAACTGAAAAATTACATGATAATTTCTATAGATGAAGAAAAAATATCCTTTCACCATAAACATTCCCAGTTAACTTGTGATAAAAGGAAGCTACAGTGTGACAAAGGGAATCTGAAAAAAAAACATACAGCAAACATTATAGTTGATAGAGAAACGATGAACGTTTCCTCCCTGAGATCAGGAGGATGTCCATTGGGAGCATTTATTTTCAACATTGTATGGCTGATCCCAGTCGGTAAAACAGGGTAAGAAAAACAAAAGAAAGATTGGAAATGAAGAAGGAATACTGTCATTGTTTGCAGATGATATGTCTGTGTACATAGAGAATTCTAAGAAATTACAAAATAATTAGAATTAATAAATGAATGTAATAAGATATCTGGATACAAGGCCAATAGACAAAAATTAACTTTACCTCTATACAAGCAACAAACAATAAGAAAATGAGAACTGAAAAACACAACTATATATAGTTGCGTGTGTGTGTGTGTGAGAGAGAGAGAGAGCAAGAGAGAGAGAGATACATGGGAATATATGCAATGAATTATGTGTAAGAAATTTACACTTGAAATACAAAATATTACCGTGGGAATTTTCAGAAGAGCTAAATCAATTGAGAAGTATAGTATATTCAATATTTTAAGATATAAATTCTTCTCAAATTGATCTATAGTTTAATGCAATCCTAAAATAAAAATTTCAAAATTATTTTTGATGGAAAATTACAAATTGATTTTAAAATTTTTGTGAAAACAGATGGAATTATAATAGTCAACATAATCTTGAAGATGAAGGAAAAACTTAGAAAACTTGCGCTACCTGATACCAACACTTTCCATTAAGTAATTCAGAAAATACAGGGTCTGCACAACGATAAACAAATAGACTAATAAAAAAATGGAGAGTCCAGAAAAAGACCCACAATATACACCCATTTTATTTACTGCTATATTTGGTGCTAGGCACCACTGCTATTTAGTGGAGAGAAGGATGATTTTTTCAACAGTAATGAGGGTCGATTATATATCTACATGGGAAAAATAAACTTGCACCAGTATGTCATACAAGAAACAAGAGTTAATTCAAGATGGATAATACAACTAAGTGAAAAATAAAGCTTCCTAAAGAAAATGTAAGAAAACATATTCATAATCTTAGGTTAGGCAAAGATTTTTCAAAGAGGATACACATATAGTCACAAACTAACCATGTCAGAAAATATTGATAAATTGTCTTCATTAAAGTTAAGAAGTTTTAAAATGATGTCAGCCAGATAGCAGAAGAGGAAGCCCTGGGCCCTCCTTCCCACCACAAGCACACTGATTCAACAATTCATGGACAAATTCCCTTTGTGAGAAATCCAGAAACTAGGTGAAAGGTTCTTGAACCCCAAGTGAGCACAAAAGTAGCACATCAAAGCCAGTAGGGAAATTCAAGACCTGTTTTTACATAATCCCTATGTCTTGCATAGTGCCATATGATCAGGAGGCAATCTCCCAGCTCCCAGCTTTCTGGGGAGGGAAAGAGGTGGATCCTGTAGCCAATGCCCCAACTTTTCCAGGGGCTAGTGAGTGGACTGGCTTCTGTTTAGCCTGTCTTGGAGCACTGATGGCACCTGGCATAATATAGCTACCTGGATCCAGTGAGAACAGAGATGGTGGTTTGGGAGTTGCCATAGCCCCATAACCCCTCTCCCTGGTTCAGCACTGAGTGAGTGAATGAAAAACCACAGATTTCCCTGGAGGAGATGAGATGTACCATGAATCTGATGCCCACATTTTTCTGGGGGCTACCAAGAGGACTGACTTCAATCTAGCCTGTCTTGGAGTGCTGATGAGAGCCGGCTGTCTGAGGAACAGTCTGAATAGAGATGTCAGTTTGATCTAGCATACAACTAGTCACTCTAGTTGGCTATACTTATGTCAGACAGATATTGTCAAAAACTGTCACAAGAAACAAAGATTATATACATTATTTACATTATATGATGATAAAAAAGCTTAATTCACCAGAAAGAGATAAGAATTATAATATATGCACGCAAGATCAGAGCACCTAAATATATAAGCAAAATTGAAGAGTGAGTGGAGAATCAACAGCAATACAATACCTTACTTCAATGCCTCACTTTCAATAATGGACAGAACACCCATACAGAAAATCAGTGACAAAACAACAGACTTGAATAATGCTTTAGACAAAATGGACCTCAAATATGTATATGGAATATTTTACTCAACAGCAACAGAATATACATTCTTCTCAAGTACACATGGAATATTCTTCAGCATAGTTGATGTGTTAGGTCACAAAAGAAGTCTTAACAAATTTGAGAAAATTTATATTATACTACATATCTTTTCTGATCACCATGGAATGGAACTAGAAATCAGTAGCAGAAGGAAAACTGGAAAATTCACACATATGTGGAAATTGAATAATGCATGCTTGACCAAGCAATGGATTAAAGAAAAAATCAAAAGGGAAATTAGAAAATGTCTTGACTCATGGCTGAGAATATGGCAGCATAGGAGGACTCTGAACTCACCTCTTCCCATAAACACAACAAACTTAAAACTATCCTTGGAATAATTACCCCTGAGAGAGAACTGGAAACTGGATAAAAAGAACCCTCTCAATAAGGGACAGAGGTAGAAAAGGCAGAAATACCTTTCTGGAGAGGAAAAAGCCACATTCTAGCCACTGTGCTTCATGGCTGGGAGCAATCTTAAGGTATGAAGCTTTCCCTGGAGGAATAGGAGATCTGAGTAGGAGAGTTCTGCTACAGTAAGCAGCTTTTAATTTTTCCAGGAAAGATTCACACTGAGCTCACATCTGTTGCCAATCTTCCTTTCTTTCTTTTTTCTTCCCCAAAGCCCCAGTACATAGTTGTATATTCTAGTTGTAAGTCCTTCTAGTTCTTCTATGTGAGTCAGCACCACAGCATGATTAGTGATGGATGAATGGTGCGATTTTGCTCCTGGGAACCAAACCTGGCCCACCAAAGCAGAGCAAGCTGAACTTTAACCATAGGCAATCAGGTCTGGTTCAATAAGCAGCTTTTGAACTCAGCACAACTGAGGTGAGTGTCATAATATCTGGCTTTGCTGGCTATTAAATACAATGAGGAATACCCCCAGAAAAGCCATTGAACATAAGAGAAAGAAATGCCTGCTCTTAAAGGGCCCATACACAAGTTCACCCACTTCAGAAAGCAAAACAAAATCACCATAAAGGTGCACAACGCTTTGGTGGAAAGAGACTCACTTGATAGGTTCTGGGTGCATCTCAGGGAGGCAGGAGGCAGATAGAACCACCTTCCCAGGAACTGAGACACTGGCGGCAGCCATTATTGTAACCCACTTCAGGAATGCTGACA